TTTGCCGAAATAAAAGTGTTGTGTCGGAAACCTACCACGCCTCTTGAAGATGAACTTGTCTGTGTCTGTGAACAAAGACTTTAAATAGTGACAGGTCAGTTGACATGGGAAAGACAGATAGACCGAGAGGGTAAGACCTCCGAGTCTAGCTGAGTCGTGATACAGTCTTTGACTGTAAGCGACGTCTGTCAAACTCTCTGCATTAGCAGAGAGGAACCCGGACGAAGCTTTGCCGAAGGGCAAGGTTTCGTCCGGGGAGGTAGACAGGGCCTGAACCCGTCTAGGCGGGTTCAAAGGCTATATTTTTGGCCGAGCCTACGGGATCGGAGATACCCACATTAAACCGGCCTTGTGACATATTTAATCCTCGTGGGTGGATCGATAAATACAGATAGACAGATAGACAGAGAATTTCTTAGCTGAGCTAGTTATTGACTACTCAGGCGATTTCTGTACCTTTTTACCAACCTATTAAAACCCTTTTTATTGTTACGTGTTATTTGGCGTTTGTCTCTACTAACCCCAAATCAACATCATAACAAAAAGTTTATTTCATTTACCCGGTATTGATTTTTAAATCAAACAGTTTTTAAGATTAAAATGCAGAAATATTTGTACGGAAAATTGTAAAAATGTGCTTTGGACAAAATAAACCTCAAGGAGAAGTCCATAAAACTCATCAATGAAAAGCCGGCACAACGATATATATCTCACAACTTATAGATACCTCAACTTTTTCGTTAAAATACAGCATAGACCTAAATTTAATAAAAACAAAGTTTTATCGTCAAAATATTTGTTGTTATTAAGAGGAAAGACCAAAGGATTTTTTTTATTATTTTATTAAATTTTTTAATGTTTTCTAGCACGTTCGAAACTTAGGTTAAAATCGTATTTTGCGCCAGTTGAGACCAAATATTACTATGTGTATTTTAACGCTTCATAATAACACACTGATTTGGAAAATGTTACAAAAATCAAATAATTGTCACATTTTAATGAAAATTTCAGGGCTTATTCAGAAATGAATGAAATTATTTTTTGAAATTATTATTTTTAGAAAACCTGTTACCTCCCCGCATTCCACTAAATTAATTTCATGAAATTTCGAAAAATTCTATTGCGATCACAATTTTATTTTTTTAATAATTAAAACAGGACTCTTTGGATAATGTATATCAATCATTTATTTTAAACAGCTACACCTTTTCTGAAAATCTGTCCCGAATAGTAAAATAAAAAATTCATAAACTATGGCATTGTCTTTTTTTTTTTTTTTTTTAATAACTAAGCTTTTGATTGCTTTTTATAAATAATATATATTACAGACATTATTCTTTAAAGAAAAAAAATTCCACGAATAATGAATTTTTACAAGAATTGTTTTCATTTTTTTTTTATTTTAATTATAATAATTTATAAAGTTTCAAATCTTTTAAAAATTCTACAAAACTATGATTGCATTATGTGATATTGTTATTAAGTGAAGACTATATTTACTAATCAAAAATTGAAAAAATATTAATACACCAATATTAAGCAAGATTTTAAAACATTTTTATGCGTGTGCATATACGTACCGATTTTTGAAAGTATGGACGACCATACACGACATTATCAGACAATAAGAGCGATGACTATAGTAAATTTAAAATCAGTATTCCTAAAACGAGATTACGGAGAATATTTTTCAAGATTTTTAAGATTCCTGAGTACTTAAAGATTACATAAAATTAAAGCTCTCGCGTGATTTTCTTAAATGATGTTTTACAGATGAAGTCTCCGTAGTGCATCAATAAAGCTGTCATCACCTTTGCGTTCCTTTGTCAATCAAGCAAACATGGCTACTGTCGGTTAATAACACGGCATTTCTGCGTTATTTTAAACTTAAAGTGTTATGGGGTCCTCCCCTTTTTCATATAAGTGGACTCGACCAGAGTGTTACTTGGACTGCTGTCGTTAAATACCCAGAGTCAGTCAGAATAGAGAGAGTGAGAGTGAGAGTGAGCAGATTGTGATTGAGTTGGAGGTAGAGTAATAGTGTGAGGTAACCGCTTGTAGAGGTCACAGTTACAAGCACGTAGACTCTAAGGAAGTCCTACTTCGAGACTATATATATATATATATATATATATATATATATATATATATATATATATATATATATATATATATATATATATATATATATATAACCGGATATAAGGTAAGTATGGGAACAATTTGGGACCAGAGAAAATCTCTATTATATCCGGGTCTCTTATATCCGGGTTACATTGTATTATTATTGCTACTAACCGCGTTCCTGGATTTACTAACAGTATTACCCATTGTATTATTGTGTAAATACATTTAATTTCTTATCTTTATTTCTTGTGTTTGTCATTCATTGGAGACTGAATTTCATCTCGGAATTCACAACATAAAGTAAATAATATTTGTTTCAAATCAGATTAATTATACTTTAAATCAGCTAATATTCCTCAAATTAAATTTCAGATAAAGGTATTTTATTTTTGAAAGATTTTTTTTAATAAAAAGTATACACTGCGATTAAAGGCGACTAAAAAAAGGGCGATAATCAGTTATTTTAACAACAAAAATATCGATTAAAAATCAATATAATTTCTGTTTGAAACATACTGATGTAGTTTGCTTCCTGGATAGAGTAAATTTAATACTTTAGATGTTAATTAAAGCTAAAATGAAAGATTCAAGAAAGCTTTTTTTTTATTTTTAAAAATTCATTTTAAAACAAGGTACCGAAAACTAATCGAGGTACCTACGCAATTACATTTTTCTAAGAACTCATAACAGTTCACAGATAATAGAATAAAAAGAACAGAGGAAACTATGAAGAACCATGAGCGCCTAAATCATTTAAAAAACGCATTTTTCAAAATACCTTATGATACGGTGAATGTCTACGCGAGCTTAGTTGTGTCACAAGGCCGAAAGTGAGGAGCGCCATGTGAGGATCGAACTCACTACTCAGTCGTAATTGTTCTAGCAAGACAAGCTTGCTAAACATTACACGACCTCGAAATATCCAATGATCTTCTAAACGTAGTCTAGATGTGGGGAAAAGACCGAAAGAGTCGAGCATCCAGTGAGAATCGAACTCACAACTCAGTTGTAATCTATGTCACAAGACAAGCTTACTAAAACCTTACACCACGTCGAAATCCTCTAACGAATTTCTAAGCGTAGCTTAGATATTACACAAGGCCGAAAATGCGGGGGATTCAGCAAGGATCGAACTCACAGTTCAGTTGTAACTGGTGGAGCAGAACAAGCTTTTTAACATGTCGAAGTGTTCAAATACCTCATGATATGCTACCCAGGTTAATAGTTCCTTAACTCTAATCTCTAATCTGAAGTAGAGTGGCGCTTGCTGGAATATTGTCAGTGTCGCCGAGTACATTTCCTCCTGTGTCAAGTTTAGTTCTGTCAACCATTTTGACAGCCTGCAGAACTACAGTCTTTATTAAGAATCCAGAAAGCCCGCAGAAAAAAAGAATTTGCTTTGGAATATGACTTCTTTGTCTTGACTTGTAAAAATAGTCTTACCTGTTTATAAATTCAGCGCCCTCTTCTATGATGGCATTTAGAAATTTACGTTCAGCTCTAGTATATAGACATATGTATATATATATATATATATATATATATATATATATAGAGAGAGAGAGAGAGAGAGAGAGAGAGAGAGAGAAAGAAAGAAAGAGAGACGGAGAGAGAGGTGAATAGACTGCGATAGATAGAGATAGATAGATAGATAGATAGATAGATAGATAGATAGATAGATATGAACAGACTGCCATATATAGGGAGCTAAATAGCTATATAGATAGGAATAGACTGCAATAGATAGATAGATAGATAGATAGATAGATAGATAGATAGATAGATAGATGACTGAACTGAGATAGATAGATAGATAGATAGATAGATAGATAGATAGAGATATAACTAAACTGAGATAGATAGATAGATAGATAGATAGATAGATAGATAGATAGATAGATAGATAGATAGATGACTAAACTGAGATAGATAGATAGATAGATAGATAGATAGATAGATAGATAACTAAACTGAGATAGATAGATAGATAGATAGATAGATAGATAGATAGATAGATATGAACAGACTGCTATATATAGGTAGCTAAATAGATATATAGATAGGAATAGACTGCGATAGCTAGCTAGCTAGCTAGCTAGCTAGATAGATAGATAGATAGATAGATAGATAGATAGATGAGATAGATAGATGACTAAATAGATAGATAGATAGATAGATAGATAGATAGATAGATAGATAGATGAATATGAACAGACTGCTATATATAGGTAGCTAAATAGATATATAGATAGGAATAGACTGCGATAGATAGATAGATAGATAGATAGATAGATAGATAGATAGATAGATAACTAAACTGAGATAGATAGATAGATAGATAGATAGATAGATAGATAGATAGATATGAACAGACTGCTATATATAGGTAGCTAAATAGATATATAGATAGGAATAGACTGCGATAGATAGATAGATAGATAGATAGATAGATAGATAGATAGATAGATAGATAGATAGATAGATAGATAGAAATGAACATAGATAGATAGATAGATAGATATGCAAGACCAAAAAATTGGTTGGTTAGGTCAAAAGGAATGCAGCTTGGATCTCTGCTGAAGTACTTTTGCTTTCATAAGCCGGCAGACGTCAATTTCACTGACAAGTGTACCATAAAACATTGTTCGAAATATTTACTAAGCTTAACTAATTGATGCATTGAGTGGGGTAGCCAACGACGGGTACATTTTCCATAATAAGACTTCCGAGTACGCAGGCCGGTTGATGACACTTTTAATGTTAAAAAACAGAAATATCTACTCGAACACCTGTATTTATCAAATACGACGCTTATAGTTACACGAAATAAGGCTAGTTTATCGTAAAACAAATCCAAATTGAAGGTGCATCCTATGAGAATCGACCTCACTACAGACGTTATGCCATACGAAAATCGCTCGTTGTTAATTGTATTGCTAGCCACTCTTCTGTCACTATTTGTTACAAACATTGTTTAAGGTTCTATTTCGGTACTTCCGTCAGTTATGGCGGCAGACATTTAATAATATTCGTGGTTGGCCGAAGCACAAAATATTACAAAATTGTCAACAACGTTGGAAGAAAACATCATGTATGAATCAAATGTACAAGCGGATTATTTGATGTCGTCTGTTTTTAGCCAAACACGAAATAGACAAAAGCAGTTGGGACATCCAATTATAGGATAAAACAACTGCTAAATAAATAGATTAATACTTTGCACAGATCATAAATGATTAAATGCAGACGACATAGGAATGACTTCATCGTAAATAAAATGTATTATTCAAAATATTTTGAAAATGGTCATCTGATAAATAGAAAAGGGTAAATATAATTTCCAGAAATTCTGTCATTATTCCATCAATTATTCAGACTAGTACCCTCACCTTCAACTCTCCGGCCTTCTTAGTGTTGTCTAAAGTTCTCAGATGAAATATTGTCATTATTCCATGAATTATTCAAACTAGTATCCTCATCTTTGTTGTATTCAAATCCCCAACCTTCCTAGTATTGTCTAAAGTTCTCAGATGAAGTATTGTCATTATTCCGTGAATTATTCAGACTAGTATCCTCATCTTTGTTGTATTCAAATCTTCAGCCTTTCGGCTATACATTTAGCCATTTCAAGGATTAAATATTTTCACTGTTAAATAAGAAATAGTTTGTTGCGCTCGGAAAAAAGAACATTCGGACAGTTTTTATATAATTTACCATCTGAAAAGAAAAAAATTTCGAACCCATGAGAAATTGTATAAAAACTAAATCAAAGTATCTGGTTTGTCGTATTCAATAAAATATGCATGAAAGAAAGATTGCTTCCAAAATACAAATATATATATATATATATATATATATATATATATATATATATTGCGGCATGCTCAAATTATAAAACATTAAATTTCAGAGAGGACTCTTGGGACAATTTTCAGATAAAAATGTGAAATTCCTTGAGTTTAATATAACGCAATAAACATTGATCCTATGTTAATTTTTGCCTTAATTCTTCCCTATTTGTGTATAATGTAGGCAATCATTCAAATATAATATAATATAATATATATATATATCTGTGTGTGTATGTGTGTGCATTTTAGCAGCAATCCTTCTAATATATATATATATATATATATATATATATATATATATATATATATATATATTATAATTTTATCATGTAAGACATGCGGCTTGCGTTCAAGCAGAATTGTTCATAACAATTTTTGGTTCTCACCCGTCAAAGTGCAACTGAAACGCACCGAAACGTAGTTGCATCTTTGTAGTGCGTAAACTGCTTTTGTCTACATGATAAAATTATTTAAAATAATTGACGCTCTACTATCAGTATTGAACCCTATTTGGATTAATGAACGTTAGAATGTATATATTACTTTCGTTCTCATTGCATTGTATATATATATATATATATATATATATATATATATATATATATATATATATATATATATATATATATAGTTGGTTGGATAGATGACAGTTTGTTGTATTCACAAACTCACATCTATCCAACCAAATATTAGCTCTATCTCTGATATTGAGCGCTTTCTAAAAAGTACCGCGCATATAATATATAAATAATTATACATACTTATATTTATTTATATTTATATACTTTATATATATATATATATATATATATATATATATATATATAAAAATGACAATTGGAAAAAATCCTCTGTCTAAGCCTTTTTCTGGTTAATGTAAATTTCCTTTATAATAAGAGATTTTTTTCCATGTCGACAAAAACAGTTAATTTCCCAGATCAATTTTGTGGACCAGACAAATTACATTAACCAGAAAAAGCTTAGACAGACGTTCTTTTTAAATTTGGATGTTTTAATGTAACTTTAACAACAAAGACATTTCGATTTCTTTTTTGCCTTAAAAAAAGTCGGAAGACGAAACGCGTCGGCAAAATCTAAGATTTTTTTTTTCTAATTGTCATTTTATACCAATTTGTCTTGTCCACAGAATTGATCTGAGAATTTAATCATATATATATATATATATATATATATATATATATATATATATATATATATATATATATATATACTTACTAGCAAATACCGTTGGAAAATTATAAATTCACTCCTTCTACCACCCACCTATGGGTTAATTAGTAGAACTTGAATCAGTGAGTCATTATTCTTCTTCTTTGTACCGTGTCCCCTTAGGACGTAGGTGATCATGTCTCTCCACGATTTCCTCTCCTTTGTTATGCGTTGTTTTCCTCCGACCCTCTTCCCTTCAGTCTGTCTTTTGAGTAGCAGATTTTCCAGGCTTTCTAGTTAATTTTGATCTACCTGTTATTCTATTGCTCTCTCTCTCCCTTCAATATTGTTTTTCTCCTTGCGTCTTAGTGGCTTTATAGCCTTGCTTGGCGTGAAATGTTTTAAAATATTTCTTTTTTCCTGAATTACTATACTTTTATCGTTCTCTGTCTTTAATAATGATCCTTTTCCTCAAACGCTCGCACACCCAGTAACCCCCCCTGTGCGTCTTAGTGGCTTTACTGCCTTGTTTGTGGGGAACTGTGTTTCGAAAAATAATTTCCTGTAAAACGCGGTGCAAATGATCAAAAATGTTATACGCGGTTTGCGAATGTAAGTGCTTGAGAAACGACATCAATCACAGAACCTGCCCGTCTCGTATTTTGATTGCTACTTTTAATCTTAAGTTGGAAATCTTCGCGTGAAGTACCCTTAAGTCTTTATCCTTCGGATTATTTTGATTAGTGCAATGTTGCAGTAAATCAAAATCTGTTTCCTGTTACTTAATATCGATTTATTCACGTTTTTTTCAAAATACTGCCTTGTCCATCAATTAATAGCTTCTTAAACCGTAACTCTTTCTAAATGTTATTGTCTAACTTTTCTATTAATTACCAACTTAAAAAAAAAAAAAACATTTTTAAACCAATATTTTCTTTCGCGGTGCTTGTAAACTCTTAAGAAATCTCAAAATTTAAACTACAGGGTGCCTTGTAAAAAAGCTGTAAATTCATAAAGCCGTGAGACAACCATTGAAAACTAGTGACGATTGATGTTACTGAAAAATTCAGGAAGAATTTCTCCACATGTCGTCAATCTTCACGTCGGATGTTCTCGTTTGAAAAGTACGATAATTTGATGCTCAAAATCAGTGAGTTGTTAGCCATACGAAAAGGGCAGAACGAAAGACGAAAGTTGTCTGCAAATAATCTTTAAATTTAAATGCAATGTCAATCGTTATTTTCTTCTTAATTTCTATTCTTTTATTGTTTTTCTTAATTTTCAATTTAGGATGTTCTTGTTTTCAATAATTTGACGCTTGAGTTGTTTTATTGTCTGCAAATAACCTTTAAATTTAAATGTAATTCAATCGTTATTTTCTTCTTAACTTCTAATTGTCTTCCTTATTAATTTTCTTTTCACGCACGGTTTACTTTTTTCGTCTTAGTAGATTTATTACTTTGCTTGTTGTGAAATGATGAAATGAAAACAAATTATTACTACAGGCTGCCTAGTAAAGAAAGCAGTTAAATTAAAAAAAGACGTGAGACAACCGTTTAAAAATGATGGCGACTGATGTTACTGAAAAATTCAGGAAGAATTTCTGCACATTTCGTCAATCCCCCACGTCGGATGTTCTTGTTTGAAAAGGACGATTACTTGACGCTCAAAATGAGTGAGCTGTTTAGCCATACGAGAAGGACAGAACGAAAGTCGAAAGTTGTCTGCAAATAACGTTTAAATGACGAGTCACATGATCGATCAGCAGTTAATCAATCATAAATAAACTAACAAAAGTTAAGTAATTACGCGAGAGATGAATGATGCTTCAAGGTCATGAATATTCAAGAAATTTATTCAAGGTTATTCAAGGTCAATTATTCCTGAAAAATTAAACAGCGATAATAAATTTACCGCTTATTTTACTGGGCAACCTGTAGAAAGGAGCGTGACGCAAAGATGCGTTTTCTTACCGGATCCCGAGAGAATAAGGATTCATTATTAGCGGACACACTATAAAGAACATAATGCTCAGAATGATTATGAGATATAGCAACAGAAAAGCAGCAAGATGCATACATATGTTTTATAGATTGTGCAAAAAAGCTTTATATATTTTGAGACAAAGAACGAATTTGAACAGCTATGTAAGCTTGATTTCAAAAAGAAAAACTATTAGAATTTATCTAGAATTTAAATTGCAACAAACAGGTTGTATACGGATAGAAAATGAATTCAGTAAAATCACCAAAATACAGTGTGACCAGTAAAGAAAATGAGGTAAATTTAGAAAGGCCTGAGACAACCGTTGAAAATTGATGACAACTGATGTTGCTGAAAAATTCAGGAAGAATTTCTGCACATTTCGTCAATCCCACGTCGGCTATTCTTGTTTGAAAAGTAAGATAATCTGACGCTCGAAATCAGTGAGTTCTCTAGCAATATGATAACAGAACGAAAGTTGTCGGCAAATCTCTATCTATAAAAGGCAGGATGTGTGTGTGTGTGTGTGTGTGTGTGTGTGTGTGTGTGTGTGTGTGTGTGTGTGTAACGAATGCACAGCCGCAATTTTCGACGGATTTCCAATAAAATTTACATGCACATGCTCCAAGTTAGTAGGAAGGCTAAGACCGACTTTGGATTTTTTTCATGCTTCTACAGCAGTTTTCATGTAGTTTGCGGCCATTTTCTACTGGCCAGAGTGAGAACCTATAGCTGGCTGCCACGAATAGGTAGGAAGATTCTATTGGCCAGCGTGAGAGCCAACAGCTGACTGACACGAATGATAACTAGCATGCTAGCATGCAAAAAAATCGATAGCTGCATTCGTCACAAGTGGGAAAAATTTTAATCTGCATGGCACTTTACTCCAATTGGCTCATTCGCTTGCTTAAACTCAACGTTGATTCTGATTCCGCAGAACTGGGTTGAGTGTGAAAAAGTATTTGTTGTTAACATTCTTTTTTCATTCGATTTTCCCAGTTACGAGTCCTTTTTTAAAGCTGATCGTTTTGTGTTCATTTTGTTTAGTTCTTTTTTCGTAACAGATTTAATGTTTAGTATAGAGCTTAGAAAAAATTCGCAGTGTGAGATAGGCAAGAAGTAAGGCATGTCGCAACATCAGCACGGCAAAGGGCACTCCTTTAAAGGCAAGGAAGAGCAAAAAGATTTTCAGTCAAGTGATAGCGATTGCTGTATGAGTAGTACGATTTTTGAATCAAGCACGGGCAACGCCGGGACAAGATCGAGCAGCGATTAGTCAATCATAAAAAAACCAATCAGAGTCAAGTAATTACGCGAGAGTCAAATGATTATTCAAGGTCATGAATATTCAAGAAATTTATTCAAGGTCAGTTATTCCTGAGAGATAAAACAGTGATGATAAATTTCCGCCTGTTTACTGCGCAGCCTGTAGTAAGGAACATCTTTAATGTCGGCTTATTTTAAAGTGTGCTTTCAAAGAAACACATAAAATGATGATGCCATAATCCTACGTACACACAAAATGATGACATTTTAACATGCTCTATCGGCCATCTTTGTTATCAACGTAATTTGTGATATTATCTCGTCTTGTACTATCCCCTCTCTCCCTCCCTCTCCCCTCTCTCTCTCTCTCGCTCTCTCTCTCTCACTCACTCTCACTCTTGTCAATGACTCCATTCTGTTGTTAATTGGAACAAGAAATGGCTTGTTAATTTTAACACCTTCAAAATGAAACTGCTCTCTATAAATCCACTGAGTAATATCTTTCCGCCTGCCATGAGCACGGCAGATGCTAACCTCCAGCAGAGTGATTCGTTACGCATTCTCGTGTTAATGCTTTCCGGTGACATGAAATGGAAAGATTATATTGAATCCATTGCTAGGTCTACTGGTAGGAAAGTTGATTCACTGTGTCGTGCTAGACAATTTTCACCGCCAGAATCTATCTTATATATTCATAAGTCTACAAGACCTCCATGCTTTGAATATTGCTGCCACATCGGGTCTGGTGTGCCTGCTAAAATATTTAGCGATCCTTGATAAAATCCAAAGAAGAATCTGCAATGTTATTGTTTGTTTTTTTTTTTTTGTTCATACAACACAACATAGTAACCCTCTACCCTGAGTGACTCTTGGACCTTCTGCTAGATAAATGTTAGTATATAAAAATATTGAATGCAGCAAAACTATAGCTCTACAGAGGGACGTCTAGAATACCATTGGCAGAGCGTATAAATAATGAGAAAGTTTTAAAGAAAATGGAAGCAAAAAGGACATAGAATCAAAAAGAGAGAGCTGAAATATGTGTGATATATAATGAGGAAAAAGCGTTTGGAAAATATGACACCCCAAAGGATATATCGAAGCAAAAAGGGACGGGGGAAAAGGCGACGGACCACCTATCTCAGCTTGTGTGAATGGATGGCGGAAGTGTCCGGGAGAGGGACAACCAAAATAGAAACGTTACTAAGAGCTGCAATAGATAGGATGTTAGGGAGAGCTATAAATTCCAACATATTTAAGGAAGACGGTACTTAGATAAAGAAGGGGTACTTTATAAACTTTCTTTCTTTCGCTCCATCACTCTCTCCCTATCCCCATCTCTCCATCTTTCTCCATCACTCTCTCTCCATCACCCTCCATCACTCTCTCTCTACATCACTCTCTCTATCTACATCACTCGCTCTCTCCATCACTCTCCCTGTCTCTCCATCAATCTTTTTTCTATCCATTAATCGCTCTCTCTCCATCACTCACTCTCTCCATCACTCTCCGTCTCTCTCTCTCTCCATCATTCTCCCTGTCTGTCCATCAATCTCTTTCTCTCCATTACTCTCTCTATATATCTCTCTCCCTCCTTCTCTATCACTCTCTCTACATCACTCTCTCTCCCCATCACTCTGTCTCTCTCTTTCTCTCCATCATTCTCCCTCTCTCTCTCCATCACTCTCTCTGTCTCTCTATCAATCTTTTTCTCTCCATTACTCGCTCTCTCTCTCTCTCCATCACTCTCTGTCTCTCCATCACTCTCTGTCTCTCTCCATCACTCTCCGTCTCTCTCTCTCCATCATTCTCCCTGTCTCTCCATCAATCTCTTTCTCTCTATTACTATCTCTCTATCTCTCTCCCTCTTTCTCCATCACTCTCTCTCCATCACCCTCCATCGTTCTCACTCTACATCACTCTCTCTCTCCATCACTCTCTCTCTCATCAATCTTTTTCTCTCCATTACTCGCTCTCTCTCACCATCACTCTCTCTCTCCATCACTTTCTGTCTCTCTCTTTCTCTCCATTACTCTCCCTCTCTCCTTCACTCTCCCTCCCTCTCCATCACTTTCCCTGTCTCTCCACTACTCGCTCTCTCTCTTTGCATCACTCTCTCTCTCCATCACTCTCTCCCTCTCTCTCTCTCCATCACTCTCCCTGTCTGTCATCAATCTTTTTCTCTCCATTACTCGCTCTCTCTCACCATAACTATCTCTCTCCATCACTCTCTGTCTCTCTCTTTCTCTCCGTCACTCTCCCTCTCTCTTTCTTTCCATCACTCTCCCTGTCTCTCCATCAATCTCTTTCTCTCCATTACTCTCTGTCTCTCTCGCTCTTAAGTCCTTTTCGTTGCCCTGATTTTCTTTGTTGTTTCCAGTCACAATCTGCCTTCATATCGCCTGACAGAACTTCTGATTTGCATCCTGCGTCAATGGAGAAAAAACTCGCTTTACAATAACTCTAAAACCAAGATAGTAATATACCACTTCACGTATATGACCATGAGCTTTCTTCTGTCTATAATGAACGGTTAGCATCTCAAGAGGACTCCATAGATTTTTTTTTTCTTTTAGGAGTCTGTCACTACACAACTCAAGTAGAATTCATATATATGATCCGGTGAATCGCGCACATTCCCTTCGTAAGGAGGAAGTTCTTTTTTGCTTTTTGTTTTCTAAAAGCATTTCACCCCAAGCAAGGAGAAAGTGCCATAAGCACTCAAGGGGTTACAGAGAGTGAAAGTGAAAGTAAAAGTAAAGAAGGGTATTTGGGGAAAGGATAAAAAAGGACGGGGATCAATATCAAGGCATCAGAAGATATCGATTGACGTTACATTTAAATTTTTGAAGATTATAGGGAAGCAAGAAAGAGGAAGGGAGTTCCACTGTCGGGAAGACAGAGAGAAGAAGCTGTGGTAATAGAAGAGGCGGTTATATTTAACTGTTTCGACTGGTTAAATTCATGCAGTTGGGGTACCAGTGAAAATAGCTCATCAGCGAATATCGTAACTGTCGCACATTCAAACAAGAAAAATGTTGCTATGGATTCTGGGTTAGAATGTACAACTGATTCTCGAGAACTCCAATTCTGTGGATTAAACTCACATGTGTATAATTCTTTGAACACTACGAACTTAGCCTCATCAAGTCAAGTGTCAATTGTAACCTATTCATCTTATGCTCATAATCTTACTTTCCTGCCACACCCCCTTCTATTTATAACACACACCTCATTGATCATAAACATTGTAACAGTAACACCCTAAGCTACAAGCTTAATGACTTCAAATCAAGGAGAAATTGTTGTCTATCCTCCTTATCCTCATCATCTTACTTTCCAACCACACCCTCTTTCATATAAATATCTCATTGATCATAACCCTTGTAACAGTAACCCCGTAAGCTACAAGCTTAATCTCCTCAAATCAAGGAGAAGATGTTGTCTATCCTCCTTATCCTCATCACCTTACTTTCCAGTCACACCCTCTTTCATAACAAATATCTCATTGGTAATAACCCTTGTAACAGTAAACTTGTAAGCTACAAGCTTAATCTCTTCAAATCAAGGCGAATTTTTTGTCTATCCTCCTTATCCTCATCATCTTACATTTCAGGAACACCCTCTTTCATAGCAAATATCTTATTGATCATAATCATTATTACAGTAATCCTCAAATCAAAGATTATTATCTATCTTCATAATCTTCTTTTCTTGCCACCCCTTCTTTCAATTCATATTACACACCTCATTGATCAGAACCATTTTAATCATAGCCTCTACGCTCCACGCTTAGCCTCCAAAAGTAAATGTTCAATCGTTATCTATCCTCCTTATCCTCGTAATATTTATTTCCTTCTCATACGTTGAGTAATTCTCTGAAAATACTCGAAGAATTCTCTGAAAATACTCGAAGAATTCTCTGAAAATACTCGAAGAATGGCATAATTGTTATCCAGTCAAACAAGCAAAATGGTGGTATGTTTTCCCGGCCACAAAACCTAACTGAATCCAGAGAATAGCTATTTTAATGGACCGGCTTCGGCGTGTATTCTTCCCTGAACACTACATCCTTAACTTCTTCAAGTCAAGAGTCAATTGCTATCTATCCTCCTTATCCTCATAATCTTCACTTCTTTGTAACTCATTGATTCACTAAAAATATCAGTAGAATATCATAACCATCGTACATTCAAATGAGCAGAAATATGCTATGGATTCCTGATCCAAATGCCTAACTTCCGGTCAGTAATTGGTGTGGATCGTGTAGCTAGACACTCTGCTCCAAGTTAGAAAACGTAACAGTCGTGCATATATAAACTAGCTCAATAACTAGTTTTAGTAAGGGTTTGGGATCGTACAGATACTACACTCTGATCTTAGGTAGAAAAGTTTATCAGCCGTACATATAGTTAGAATAGCAATTTAGTCTAAGTGAGGGTCAAGGATCGGACAGACTCAAGATTCTGATTCGAGCGAGAGAAAATGGAACTGTCGTGCATATAGAATATCCGAATAATAGCAGAGTCTAAAGAAAGAGCAAGGGAACGGGCATATATACTACACTCTGATCCAAAGAAGAAAAGGAAGAAATATTAGTAGATTCTAAATGATGAAGGAGGATTATGCATATACTACACTCTGATCCTTGGCAAAAAGCGTAACAAATACAAAATACCACACTTTGATCCTAGGTAAAAAAAAAGCGTAAAAAACTAAAACATTCCTCACTTTGATCCTAGATAAAAAGAAAAAGCGTAATAAACCAAAACATACCTCACTTTGACCCTAGGTAAAAAGAAAAAGCGTAATAAACCAAAACATACGTCACTTTGATCCTAGTTAAAAAGAAAAAGCGTAATAAACCAAAACATACCTCACTTTGATCCTAGGTAAAAAGAAAAAGCGTAATAAACCCAAAAATGTATCACTCTACTCCTAGGCAGCAGAAAAACATAACAAACCAAATATATACTTCACTCTGCCCCAAGAAAAAAAAAAGTGTAACAAGCCAATATGTACCTCACTTTGATCCTAGGAAAAAAGTGCAATAAACCAAAAATATACCTCATTCTGATCCTAAACAGAAAGCGTAACAAATCAAAATATGCCTGAATCTGCTCTTAGGCAGAAAAGCGTAACAAACCAAAATATACCTCATTCTTATCCTAGGAAAAAAAGTCTAACAAACCGAAAATATACCTCACTCTAATCCTAGACAGAAAAAGCGTAACAAATCAAAATATACCTCACTCTGATCCTAAACAAAAAAAGCGTAACAAACCAAAATATACCTCATTCTTATCCTAGGAAAAAAATGTCTAACAAACCAAAAATATACCTAACTCTGATCCTAGACAGAAACAGCGTAAACCAAAATATACCTCGCTCTGATCCAAGGGGAAAAAACGTAACAAACCAAAATATACCTCAATCTAATTCTAAATATATAAGTGTAGCAAATAAAATATATATCACTCTGTTCCTAGACAGAAAAATCGTAAAAAACCAAAACATACCTCAGTCTGATCCTAGGTTGAAAAGCGTAACAAACCAAGACATCTCCCTCTGATCCCAGGCAAAAAAAGCGTAACAAACCAAAAAATACCTCACACAGGTCCTTGGCAAAAAAAGCGTACCAGTAATTTACACAAACAAGCGATAATAGATAATTCCAAAAAGAGGCCAGAGATCGCACACATACTACACTTTGATCCAAGTGAGAAAGGTGTAACATTCGTGCATACAGACAATAAGAATAATAGCAAATATTTCTAAATAAGTGCTTGGATCTGAGCAGATACTACACTCTGATCTTAGACATTTTTCTTAAAAAAGCGCAAAAGAGCAGAATAATAAGAGAAAGTGCCGGTCAGTCAACTTGACTGAGTTCAATAGTTCTATGGAGCAGTCGGACAGAACAGGCTGATCTTAGATAAAACATAAAATGTATATATACAGCTGGCCACTCATATTCGAGGATACCCGTCTACTAGGGGCGGCTAGCCAATCCCTATTATAGACGTTTTCTCAGGTACATTTGTGTTTATTCAACCCTGTAGAGCCTACATGTGGTTTATAATACAACTATGCTGAGGAGACCTTAGTTACAATTTCTGGGAAAGAGCGTGTTATCTAGCGTGATCAACAATTTGAATAAGGCCAGCACACTTAAGCCTTCGGCCACGATGACTTATAACTTCATGCTAGCACAGCTATCGACGGCCTCAAGGGGTTCTGTCTACCCAATTACACACAAGGATCTGGTCAGCCTATGGTATGGTTTTCAGGCACATTCCAAAGGTGCGATAACATTTTTGACAAACCAGGGTGAGATTCGAACCCGGTTCTCATTGTGAGAATGCAAACGTTCTAATCACTCGGACACGTGACCATTGAAGGGGGGTGAATGTCGTACATTTAAACCAAAAGAATAATTCATACTATTATAGAAAGTTCATGAAAGTACTGGGGAATATTTCGCTTAACATTTATAAAATCTAAATTCCGAAGTCTCTTCGAGAGATGAAAAATTTTTCCGGTAGCGTATTTGCAATGCCGAGTTGGGAGAATCATTAAAATAATCGTCCGAATAACTTTAAGTAATATTGATCCTTTCGTTTGTCTAATTTCAATAGGAATGAAATCGCTCCAAGAACAATTGTTTCCGATGTTAAAAAAAAAGAAAAAAAAATGGAAGAAGGAATTGGCGGTCAATCTTTGTTCGACGTAACAGAGAATACTTTAGAATCAGACGCAAATTGTTCTTTAAAGATGCATTCAGACGAACGGTTCCTACATTCTAATGTTAATGGGGCGAGTAAAAAAAATCTATACGACAAAAAAATAATGCCGTTTAATGAAGATGAATATTGCACAAGAATTACCCGGATTTCAATCGATCAATATGCCTGTCGCCTTTAGTACATCGAATTGAGATTATTATTATTATTATTATTATTTAGGAACGTCCGCAAGACAAGAAATGCATTAATAGTACAAAATAATAGAGAATTTTAAACTTGTTAAAACAGTTTTGTATCAATGGTTCTACCAAGATGACAACCACGGATCATTTTTTTAAATTATTATTCTTTAGATGAGGAATTATCATTATTATATGCTTTGCTATTCCGACTAGCATTCTCATCTAGGTTGTTATGCACAAAACGTTTCGGCTGTTACCGATTTGATCATTTTAGTTCCACAAC